TCAGAAGACGTAGAACATTCAATCCGTCGTGTATAAAGGCGGCCATTTTGTGTACCCTACCCGAATGTCCAGTTCCAGCTTGTCAGGCGAAGAGAAACAGAAGGACGAACTACGCTCTGCTACTTTTACCAAAATATCCACTGCTAACCCGAAATACGCTTCCCTACTGTCTTCAAAATATTCACTGCTGACCTCTGGATTCTATACTCAAAGACGACGGTCATCATGAACAACAGGGTGAACTTGAAACCATGTGTTGGCTATAACCTGGTCATTCGCCGTACGCCATTGCACCAACTTTCCTCCATGTTCATTACGGGTCCGAAAATGCCAACTATTTACCAATCCTTTTTGTTACCTACTTTGGAATTCAGGTCTCCCACGATATTTATCATTTCTTGCGATTTGCAAGAGGCCTTGGCGTTGTCTAGCTCAGGGGTCACCAACATTTTTTTTTCTCACAGAAAGCCGAATAACTGAGAGAATAACGAGCGAGGGCGGGGTAACGATTTTGTTCAATTCAAATGCACTGAATACACTATATATTATATTCTGTTTCGTGTCTTGGCATAGGTTGTGTCGCTTTTTCATCATGTCGAGAATTTCGTCTGTCGTCCATTGACTTTTTTCTTTGTCTCCTTTCCTTTCGGATCATCCCGACAGCAGATCTTGCTAAAGATTTTCTTAGTGTCCCACCTCGATCCGCCATTGTCCTTTTTTTCTTTCGTATCTGCTTTTTCACAAATGTCCATATATTTTTCTTTCAAATTCGGGTCGTTCAAGAGTCTGTCGTATTGAAATTTGGGTGTTGCCTTAATCCGCTTCAATATGCGTCGTTTCACTCTAAGCTTACACACATCAGTAGAAAGTGATCGCTTCAAGACCGGGCACTTGGATATATTCTGCAGTGTTAAACTGTGTTTCTTAATCTCTTGTTGATAATTATATAATTGATCTGTTTTTGTTGTTGTTATTTTTTGGGGGTTTTGTTTGTTTGTTTTTTTTTGTTTTGTTTTTTGGAGGGTTTTTCTCCTTCTGGGCTTCACCATGTCAATATTGGTCTTGAAATCAAGAGTTGGTTATTACCTGGCAATTCGTCATTCACCATTGGACCAGTTTTCCTCTACGTTCCTAGTCGGAATTTACCAAACATTTCACTATCCCTCTCATTGCCTATTTTGGCATACAAGTCTCCCATGACAATTATAATTTCTTGCGATATGCAAAAGGCCTTAGCGTCGTCTTGCGTGGAGTAGAACATTTCAATTTCTTTTTCTGTTCTTTATGATATCGGTGAGTACACAACTATGTTGAAAGGCCTCCCAATTTATTTAACTACAATAATCCATTCAGATAATTAACAGCATCCCAGAACGCATTTCCTCGTGTCTTGAGCTAGTATCAATCCTAATCCTCTTTCATTTTTCTCTTCGCCTGCGTGTATGATCCTATGCAAGATCTCTATTGTTTGACTGCTGGGTTTCACATTCGCCTAAGATGTTGATATTTAACCGGCTCGTTTCTTGTTTTATATTTTCTAACTCTCCACGGTGGTTTAATGTTCTAACAATGTCCCTGAGAATTATATTTTGTTTGATACTAACAGTTGCTGGATGGCAGTCCGGTGACACCTGTAGCTCATTTCTTCCCTTGTCGGGGGAGGTGTCAATCCCATGTATTTTGAACACCTTCACGCCGTTTATGCTAACAGTTGATGGATAATGGTCAGGTGACACCTGGGGCGCATGTTGCTCCTTACCGAGCGAGGAGTTAGCGAAAGGTTAGAAATAAACCCCTTTCACACCGTTAGGTTTCACTTTTCTTATTTCTTGGTATAGATAGTGGAATGGTTTCCCGTTGCCTTCCCCACGGTGATTTATTGAGGCAGCACCTCTAGTTAGATGGCCGTTTACTCGTCAAGAGTTCTTCTGTCCTTTGCTAGGTCTTATTTTTCATCCTTACAAGGTTGCCAATAACCAGACTCATTCAAGAGAAGTTGGAGTAAGGTAGCCATTTTAGCCGTCAAACTTCCATTAGTAGCATGCATACTTACCGATACAGAAACAAGTATAAATAGATCCATTTTTTAAAAAATAAACCAGCTTGTCTGATGATCACAAAAGCGTGAAACCTAGGCTCACAAACTAATAGCCATAGAACTGAATATCTTAGCTCTATCACTGATATTGAGCACTATTTCCACTAAGTACTGCGCTTATAATATATATATATATATATATATATATATATATATATATATATATATATAGTTAAAACCAGATCGGCAAGTCTGGGCACTACTATTAGTTTCATGTGTCTACGCACAATTATCAGGTAGCCAGTCACTTGTAATAAGATGAATACCCTACATAGCTCCGAGCGAGATCAATTTGACAAGCAAATCAAACCCATACGGTTGTGGGGAGGGTAGATCATCCAGCCAAGTTCTAAAATGGCAAAACAAAGAAAAATATGTCCCACCTGGGAAGGCTTGCCTGTATAGTAAAAAGCGCTCAATAAAGTAAAACTAGTTCCATGAACACGAGCCAAATTTCTGCCCACAACTGGAAATTAAAAGTAAGATTTATAAATAACGTAAAATATTAGCCCTAAAAAGATTAAAGGAAACGGACTAGTTTCCCCTTTCTCCCAATTCAGTTTTCAGGTTACTATATATTGATAGTGCCCGCGCAAGGAGTAATGGCACATTGTCTGAAAATTACTGGAGGCTTCAAACAATGTGATCTTCAAACAATGTGCCATTACCATGTCATGTAGGCATTTCATGTTCGTGTAGGCAGTCACCATGTCGTGTAGGCATTCATGTTCCTCCTGCCTCTTCTTTCTCTCATTTGTTAGCATTATCTCTTCACATACACACGCTCTCTCTCTCTCTCTCTCACACACACATACACACACACAAACACATATATATATGCGTACATATATATATATATGTGTATGTGTGTGTGTGTGTGTTTGTGTTTATCAATGTGTGTGTGTGTGTGTGTGTCAAGTTGTGTATATTAAATATAAAGAAAAATAGGAAAGAACACGTTAGGTTAATAATCCGAAGTTCTTTAGTATTTATATATATATATATATATATATATATATTTAGTTTATATATATATATATATATATATATATATATATATATATATATATATATATATATAAGACGTATTGATCAATCTGGTCATAAGTTAATTTTACCTAGAGTTTCTCATGTCTCGCCGAAATTTTCGCATACATCGAAATAACTTGCTCAGGAAATGAATAACCATTTCCAATCGGTTTTTATTCCTTTGAGTAAGCCATTTCGCGCCTCAGGTTCCACGAATCTTACACCAACCACACACACACACACATTACACACACACACACACACATATATATATATATATATATATATATATATATATATATATATTGGTTGATAGATAATAATAAATACACGGATTGATTGGGAGATTCGTGGTGTGAATAAAAGGAGCGACAGAAATATATTATGGGATACCGTGTAGAATTAGAACCAAACAGAAGAGGGTAATATAGAATGAATGTGAAAGTAAGAACAATGAAACTCAGTCAAAAGTGAAAGTGAAAGTGAAAGTAGAGAGAAATCGTGTCGGCAGAAGACGAGGTTAAGGAGAAAGAATTGTGTGCCGAGGTTTTTATAACCTGGGTAATAGCTGAGAGCATTTGCGTATCCGCCGGATTTTATCGTGCCAATAGCCGAGGCTAATCGTCCGTGTTCTTTGTCATTCTATGTTATTACCGGCCGAAAAAAAAGTCGGCCGGACCACCACCAAGCCTTCAGCATTACCGTCTCCCTCCCACCAGCACCCATTCCTGATATCCATCAATTTCCCTTGTCCCCCTTTACCACACACATCTTGGTTGATAAGACCTTTCTCTGTAGTCTGATTGGCCATATAAACTCAGTATTCGCAAATGACAAACACAGATGCACACATACGCATACACACTCACATATACTAAGAAGCAGGTGCATATATATATATATATATATATATATATATATATATATATATATATATACGTTCCGATACACACCAACAAGCACACAGATTCCTTGGCATCCACCTGCATAAATTTAAATACAAGCTTCCAGACACACACACACCCAAACTTTAATACTTCCTAAAGCCTCGTGAGTAATCATATTAAAATATACATAAATATTAAAAGCCTAGAGCGTCCTCCAGTTGGCACATCGGCAGTGTTTTTACTGCAAACGAATGATTTTTCTTTGTTTAATTCTGTTATGAAGACCTCCTCGAATGCATTGGCTAATAATACGGCCAGATTGAATCAAGAAAACAATTTGTATTGGCAAGCTCATCGTCTGTGCTAGCAGCTATACAATCTTTTCAAAGATATAGACATGAATTAAATCGGGTGGCGTGATATGTATTTTTACAGACCGCTTCTCTAGACACACAATCTGCAAAACTGATTTTATACGATCCTTCAAAAAAGATGCTTCCATTGATTTCATTTGAGTCAAAGAAATACTTATGAAAGATGTTTCTTCGAGGCATCGCAAATCCATTTCTTCTATGTACCGTTTTCATTCAGGATACTGGCGATCACGGTTCTCCATAGCTTTCTATCCCTTATGGCTTCAGGTACCCCCATGTTCTGCTTATCCATCTATACAATCTCGTTAGATAGGTTACTTTCTCCTGCTGCTCTTTTGCCTTCAGTATGTCCTGTGAGTGTCAAATTCGCCAAGCCTTCTTTCCTCATTTCACTTGTTTCTGATTTGGGTTAAGGATGATAGTATACCCCAGGACCAACACTGGCAACAAACCGCCTGCATGTGGACAAAAAATGAATTCTGTAAATATACAAAATAGAAAGGGAAATAAGACAAAGGTGTATCGTCTCACCGGACTTATTCAACCTATACGTTGAGGCGATTTTGAGAGAATTAAAAGTCCTAGCAGCATTCATTTTTGGCGGCCACAAACTTAACAACATAAGATATGCTTCTGATACTGTTACATTGGCATATGCAAGTTACCACAACAAAAATGCATACTTGTTTCGACGTCTAAAGAGATCTCATCAGGTGGTTGTCGATGGTTATTCTCAACATCGCTTGAAAATGGGACCAAATTTCAAATTTTAAGTTTAAGATTATAATCATTTTTTGAAAATAATTATAATATATATATATATATATATATATATATATATATATATTATGAAATGGACTAATTCCGATAATTGTTTTAATATAGTTATTGTTTATACGTTCTTTTTACAGATACAAATATTTAAGTAAATGCTCAGTTTATAATAAATAGTATTAACAACATTTCCCGGCCTAAATGAAAAGTCATGGGAAATTTGTAGTTTAAAATCAGTAATTCGAGCTTAGCCAGACCCCTTCCTCTGTAGCTAAATGGCATCGCACGTCAATTTATATGACCGTTCTGTGTAGGATAGAGGTTCGATTTCTCTCGGAGGACACATATTTTCAGTGAAAATTTTTCGGATATTCAGGCCGGTAAATGTTGTTAATACTGTTTATTATAAACAGAGCATTTACTTAAATATTTGTATCTATAAAAATAACGTATTAATATTTACATATAATAATATGATATGCGAACCTATATACTTCAATGACCTATATATATATATATATATATATATATATATAAGGCAGGATGTGTGTGTGTGTGTGTGTGTGTGTGTGTGTGTGTGTGTGTGTGTGTGTGTAACGAATGCATGGCCGCAATTTTCGACGGATTTGCACCAAAATTTACATGCACATGCTCCAAGTTAGCGGGCAGGCCAAGATCGACTTTGCATTTCCCAACTCCCATCGATAGTGGAAATGATCGATTTTTTCATGCTTCTACGGCAGTTTTCATGTAGTTTGCGGCCATTTTCTACTGGCCAGAGTGAGAGCCTATAGCTGGCTGCCACGAATAGGCGGGAAGATTCTATTGGCCAGCGTGAGAGCCAACAGCTGACTGACACGAATGTTAACTAGCATGCTAGCATGCAAAAAATTATCGATAGCGGCATTCGTCACAAGTGGAAAAATTTAAATCTGCATGGCACTTTACTCCAATTGGCTCATTCGCTTGCTTAAACTCAACGTTGATTCTCATTCCACAGAACAGGGTTGGGTGTGAAAAAGTATTTGTTGTTAACATTCTTTTTTTCATTCGGTTTTTCCAGTTACGAGTCCTTTTTTAAAGCTGATTGTTTTGTGTTCATTTTGTTTAGTTCTTTTTTTCGTAACAGATTTAATGTTTAGTATAGAGCTTAGAAAAAATTCGCAGTGTAAGATAGGCAAGAAGTAAGGCATGTAGCAACATCAGCACGGCAAAGGGAACTCCTTTAAAGGCAAGAAAGGGCAAAAATAAGTGATAGCGATTGCTGTATGAGTCGTACGATTTTTGAATCAGGCCCGGGCAACGCCGGGCCATGCTGCTAGTTGATATATATAACACTGCGTATATTTTCGAAGCATGTTTTCATTAAGACGTCTCATTAAACAATATAAATAGGATCCTTTCATAATTACAGACGAGTTTATCGGTATCCTTATTAAAGGAAGAAAGAAAATTGCCATTTTGATGTGCAAATAAATTTTACATATTATCCCTCACCGTTAGTACAACTCGGTGTTTCATGCACAACGCAATCTTCAGGTGCTGGTTTCAGACTGACCGTTATATAATTTAAATTTTAATGAAAATAACTAGTTAACGCAATGTTGGTGCACTCTATATATTTTAGGGGCATAAAAAACAGTAATCCCGTTTATGTTTAATATAATATAATAATCCTAACTTTTTTTTCATATGGTTTTTGGTCAGTTTATTTTAATATAATTTTTTATAATAAATTCCATTAATCCCTGTTTATTTTCAATATAAAATCAAATATCTATTCCCGTTTATTATATACTAGCAGGAGTTTAATGTTGCCTGGGGATGTAATAGTAAGAGATAGATCAAGTATCGACCATCATAAAGACTGAAAATAAAATTGACAAAGATTATTGTTTAAGGTTGACGGACACGCATGTCTTAATTAGTTTTTTTTTTTACGAATTGGTTTGTAAAAACAAAAACATTGTTTTCAATCGTTATGAAAACCGATTTAACACTACCTGCCAAAAAAAAAGTGAAGTTTTGTTGAAATTGGTTGAAAAATGTAGGAAATCCGATCCCCATATATAAACGAACACACACAAACAACCTGGGTTTTATAATAAGTATAACTCGATATGAGTTGTCCCCTTTCATTCTCGCGATGCCTCTTAATCGTGTTTTCAAATTGATTTCGTGAAAAAACATAAAAATTTTTTTTTTCCAATTTTTGGCGCTGTCAGAACCACCGCAAAGGCAATTTTACGTAGTCCTGTGAAGTTTTGTTGAAATCGGTTGATAAATGTAGGAAATCCGATCCAATATATAAACGTACGTACATACGTACGTACACACACACACACACACACAACCTGGGTTTTATAATAAGTATGATATTTAAAATAAAAATTCCGTCTTTTTTCAATGCAACATATATTTTTAAAATAAAAAAAAATAATCTCCGTATAATATAAGAACTGCGCAAGCATTGGATTAATCAGATATTTTTATTAAATTATAAATTATGTAACAGTCAGTCTGAGCACCTGAAGATTGCACTGTGGAGGAAACTTCGAGCCGTGCGAGCGGTGAGGGATTTTCCATTGAACATTTTTTAAACCTAAGATTACACACTTCATAAATAATAATAATAATAATAATAATAATAATTTATATTATTATTATTATTTCCTTTGATATTTTTTGTGTACGCATTTCCTTCCGGGTACCAACTAGAGACCTAAGTTCAGAAATGGCTTCATGCCGTTTTACATTGAACGTTTTTGAACCTATGATCACAGACTGTTTATATAGATAAATCCCTATGTAATGTGTGAGCTGTACTTGTGAATACGATTTTTTTTAATTCTTTAAGGCATAGACAACCACTATTATTATTATTATTATTATTATTATCCTTTGATATCTTTTGTATACTCATTTCCTTCCGGGTCCCAACCAGAGACCTAAGATCAGAAATGGCTCCATGACATTTTCCATTGAACATTTTTAAACCTATGATCATACACTTCATAGATAATAATAATAATAATAATAATAATAATAATAATAATAATAATATTATTATTATTATTATTATTATTATTATTATTATTATTTCCTTTGATATTTTTGTGTACGCATTTCCTTCCGGGTACCAACCAGAGACCTAAGATCAGAAATGGCTCCATGACATTTTCCATTGAACATTTTTAACCTAAGATCGCCCCCCACCCCCATTTTACATAGACAAATCCCTTCGTAATGTATGATCTTTAATTGTGAGTACAATGTTTTGTATTTCTTTGAGGCATAGTCTAACATTATTATTAGTGGTAGTAGGATTTGTTATAGTAGTAGGAGTAGCAATAGTATTATTAGTATTTTCCTAACGTACCGTTTTCTTTTTTTCTTTTTTAATGTGAAGGCTTGCGAAGGGGGATCAAATTACAATGAACTCGCATAGCAATCTGAACCCCCTCTTAAAACTTAATTTTTTTAATTAATTTTTTATATAATCGTGATCTGAGAGTTTAATCGATATGAATGTGAAAAACAAAAATAAAAAAAATATGATTCTTTCTTAGAGAGGCACATTTCTGTTGAAAATCGAAAACGTTTACGTGCAACACAAAACTACTCGGTAGACCTCGCTTACGCCCCGACTCGGTCGTGCAGACTTTAATAGTAATGCCAGGATAGGTTCTGGGTGAGGAAATGTCGTTCTAGAGTGTTCAGTGATTCGATTGCCTTCGTGCAATTAATGATCGTTTGCCTTTGCTAGGTAGACCTGCGGAACAGCCAAGCTGTATTCACCCACGACACACAGACCTCATTCTCTGGTATCATGTTAACTGTTGACATAATTTGTAACAATCGCTTTAGTGTTTGTAGATAAAACTCTGAACATCGTCATGTACATTAAGAACATTGCTCAAGCCATTCTGCTATCATTCCAGTAGCAGGAAGACGATGAGATGCTCCATTTGAATTTAGTAACGCCTGCCTACATGTTACCGGTTTGTTGTAGTATTTAGTAACGTTTGTCTTTTTGCTATCTGTTATGGTCCAGTTCCTTGTACCACAGTGATAGTCCAAGGTAGAACCAATAAAGAAGAACTCGAACACGGATATGGAATAACACAGATATATTACAAACAGGAATATATACAGAGAAGTAGAAAGTGTTAGTACGAACAATCAGGTTTAGTAGTAATTGTCTGAACGCGACTCTGTTTCGGACTGCCGCTGACTTGACTGACTGACTCGCTCTGACTGACTGACGGACTTCTGACGGACCTCACTGCAGACTTCAGACTGAACTCCAGACTTCAGACGGAACTATATTTAGTCACCCCCCCACGAGCGCATCATGTGGCACAAGGCCGGGTTAACGTGGGATCTCCGAGCCCGTGGTCTCGGCCAAAAATATGCCCTTTGAACCTGTATAAACGGGTTCAGGGTAGGTTTACCTCCCCGAAAGAGACTCTGCCCTTCGGCGTAGCCTCGTTCGGGTTCCTCCCCGCCCGAAGGCAGAGAGTTCAACCGATCAGCTGGTCAGCCGGTCGCCCGACTTCGGACTGAACTCCCTGCTTCCTTTTGAGGCGCAGTATTTATTACGTATGGAATAGTCCATTATGTTATTATGGGTAAGGTCCCATAACATTATCTCTCCTAAACCCTGTCCTGACAACCATTTACACGAGTTCACCTGAATAATGCCCGTCCAAACGTTGCCTATTTTTTGTATCTTTTATTAAAATTTGTCGCTTTGCGATCTCTCCTAAATCCTGTTTTGCCAGCCATTTATACAAGGAGCAGCTGAATAATGCCTACCCACATGTTGCCCATTTGTTGTGGCTTTTA